ATAATGTGTGGTGAACAGATAAGAACAGATAAAAACAGATCATAATGTCCATGCTGCTGGCTCTTCCCCTGTCAGTGCAGAAGATATAGATGGGGTGCATTAGCAGGGGCTCCACTGCTCGTTTTCTACAAGTGATCTGGGCGGCTGTATAGCCACCCAGATCACTTGTAGCCCCCTGCATGGGTGGTGCCCCACACCACCACCCGCCGTAGTTTTCAGGGTCACCCGCCCTTCCGGGGGACCCGGGACCACGGCAAATTCATTCAGGATGGAGAGAACATTTTAAAAAGTGATACAAAAATAATTGAATAAATAGAAATTAAAAAAAGTAACACCAACCCCACCGCCCTCGCCATCTGCCTGCGAATAAACACACGCCCATGGGGCATGCATGTGTACGGAAATGATATTTGCACTACATGTTAGGTTTCCATGCGAACGTGTACATTATTTTTGGGATTACAACTTAGTAACGAAGGACAAATGTCGGTCCTGAGGTTACACAGGTAGAGAACTACTGCACTAAAACTTTGATAACTGAAATCAGGGTAGTCTCTTATTTCTGCACCCTTTGCAGCACATTGGTTCCTCCAGCTCTGCACATGCTCTATGAATTGGCTTTTATATAGTGGTGTTTCTATAGCATCATTTGCATGATTTTGGCTTTTCTCGGCCTAACAGATGTGCTCACCTGCTTCCTGCTATATCACAAGAACCATTGCTGAATGACACAACACACTCCCGGGAACTGTGGCACAAAAACAATAACAACATTATGAGGATTATTCCCTTCATTCCACAGATGCATGTACCACAGCCCAAGCTGGCCATACACTGATCATTTTTCTTGTTCAGTCCCGTCGGCTGAATGAGAAAAGACTTGCGATTCCCCCATCCAAACTAAACGGCGTAGATGAGTGAATGGCCCCCGCTGGGCGATTGTGTTCTGACAGTGACGTGTGTGCTGATGGTACCACACACACTGGTCACTTTTTGAAATTTGAGCAATAAATGGTTAACTTAAGTTATCAGACCAAAGACTTTGGGGACATTGAACACTATTGGCTCTGTCTATCTAGCATGCAGTATATAGCTTTGGATGTGTGTATCATATTGTAGAGAGTTTACACTTTTCATTTCCAGACTAACATATGGTAAATACTAAATACTTCATCTGCATATCAATGATGGCTGGAATAAATCGTGATTTTTATTTTCAAGGAAGAATGTTGTTGAACAGTGGGATCCTTGTAGGGCATTATGGTCTTCATTAGCAGAGATGTGGTTTGAGAGACTCTGAATGGGCAATGTTAAAGCTGCACACACCCCCCCCCCCCCCCCAAAAAAAAAATCTAATCATGAACCAATCAGCTTTAATGCAAAGTTCCCCCATAGTACCTCTTCTTCGCCACAAGATATCTTCAGTGTTCGGGGTAAAAGGAGGTCCACCATCGCTTGAGCATGGCCCCCCGCACTCCTAATGTATTGATCCTAAAGAGGCCCCTTAGAAAAAAAACAGAGAAATAGGGGTTTCTGAGAGGTATAAAACCAATACATGTGTAAAAATGATTTACAAATTTTATTATACAGTAATTAGATTATATAAAAGAATCAATTGTAATACATACGAGTATAAAAAAAACCCAATTGGCTAAAACACACACAAAGTGCCTAGGATATGCCCAACGTATACCCTGTTTCCCTGAAAATAAGACCTACCCCGAAAATAAGACCTAGTACTATTTTTGGGAATTGCTAAAATATAAGACCTACCCCGAAAATAAGACCTAGTTGTGACCATTCCCAGGGCCGGTGGTGGCATAAGGGGGAACCTGAAGAGCCGCGGGAGAGAATCAGTGGTGCCAACGAAGCCAGCGCTAGAGGAAGCGAGGCAGCAGCGGAGGGAGCAGAGCCGCATAAGCCGATGCCTCCTCTATAGCGCCGGCTCCTATCACATGTGGAGTGATACCAAATGCATTCCGCCTGTGAGGAATTGATAGTGAAAGCGCACTTCCCTCATTCTGGACAGCGATTGGTTAGCAAATTGCTCTTGGAAAGGCACCCCTGATTGACCTTATCACCATATGTTTCTACATAAATAAGTGTGGATTGTTGTACAATAAAAAAAAAAAAAAAAATAAGACCTACACCGAAAATAAGACCTAGTGTGTTTTTTGAGCCAATGTCTTATTTTCGGGGAAACACGGTATATGCCCCAGTGATCCCAGGTCCTAATCCTTGCTAATACCTGCTAATACCTCTTTATTATTAGCAAGGATTAGGACCTGGGATCACTACGCTACACATAAACATTTCACTTATATGAATTTGTTCACCAAGACAATGCCCCACAAATATGGGAACCAGTTTATCTCTTAGGACTAGGTGATAGGGGTCCTTTGCATCGTCCTTGATGGCCCCCCCTTCCCATGGCCCCGATGTCCCTGGCATGGTCTCAGACGGAGTTGAGTGGGCTGGTTTGAATCAGGCCGCCATCACTTTCTCCTGATCCGGAAATATCTGTCCTCCTCCAGACACTAGTTGTTCGATTAGCCCCCCCTGGTCCCCTGAAGAAGCTTGGTGCGAAACGCGTCGGGCCCTGGATATGTCTGTTCCAGTAAATGAAAAATGAAAAACTAATGACAATCAGTAAATGAACAATGAATAATTAATGACAATTATTATGTTTGCAACTATGGATATTTAATTAAGATATAACTGGTTGACGTTGGGCATATCCTAGGCACTTTGTGTGTTTTAGCCAATTGTTTTTTTTTTATACTCATATGTATTACAATTGATTCTTTTATATAATGTAATTACTGTATAATAAAATTTGGATATCATTTTTACACATGTATTGGTTTTATACCTCTCAGAAACCCCTATTTCTCTGTTTTTTTCTATGTTTACATTTAGAGGGGGAGAGGTCCAATTAGGGAGCTACTGTCGAGGCAGACTCAAAAGTTGATTATTTTACTCCTAAAGAGGCCCCTTACTAATCCACCTATCTCCAGGAGACTAAAATGACTAAAAAGAACCCTCCGCCCATCATATGACTAGCAAGAAGTCATTAAAGATCACCCTTCCACCAAGTAATACTCTCCTTCCCTGCTATTTCCTGATGGTCCATTCCTCTGTCAGAGCCAGAGTTTAAACCCTGTATAAGCTCTGCATCACCTGTTTTGAAGCTTGAAGTTAATAACTTCGTTCCCTCCCCACGCTCATCAAGGGAGAACCTTATATGCTCCCCCAGATATTTCCCAAGGGCTGCAATGGATTGATGAGGGAGCGCAACAAAGATGAGTATAAGTGAGCAGGGGGTTGTTCCTTCAACAGGTCCCTTTGCCCAGTTTAGAGTCTCTGTAGCTTTTAGGTTTTACTTTCACTTTAATAACTTTGATCAGGTGAAAACTGAGAAGCTTTGGAGTAGCTCTTACAATCACGCTCATAGTGGAATTGGCTGCCCTGTAAGCTGAGGATAGTCGGGAAGGAATGACATAGGAGGGGTTACTGGTGGGAGAGAGCTTATGGTGGCATCACCACCATTTCTTCATGAGGTAGGGTGGTGGCATTGAGTCTGCAGAATGGCAGCTAATAAAGTTAGCATGACATAATTCACCAAGATATTATACCAAGATGCATGTAGGGAAGGTGGGGAAGAAAACATTTAGAAGCTCTGTCAGGGTTTTACTTCCGTTATCCATGTAAAGAATGTCACACCCATTTCATCCAATTGGAAAAGTAACATTTTTGCCATGGTGCTCTGTCTGCTCCCGTCTACAGCATTGGCTGGGCAGGATATAAGTGGGATTTTCTTGGCTTTTTAGTGACAGACCCCAGATGTCATTTGTAACAATTTCCCACAATTCCCAGTTTCTCAGTGATGTGTTGTGAGCTGCAATGGTTCATGGTATCTCATTTCACTCCTGCATGTGACATAGCCTGTCCTCAGCCTCAGAATATTATACATGGCTTGTCCAGTGCTACGGCTCTCCTTCCACCCTTATGTCATTACTGTCCATCTAACCAACAATTGTCTTTTTATGCTCCAGATGAGGCTCCCGTCACGGCATCTCCATTACTTAACAGTACGTCCCGTATAATGTTGTGTGGATATTGCACAGTTTGATCCACGGTGGGCCATTCTGAATGACTTAAAGGGTATTTCCACTTTTGCTGCCAAATTGCCATAACACCTACATTCACACAGCATAGCTTAAAAATGTTTTTTAAAATTGCCACTTACAGTTTTCTTGCTGTTTATTGAAAACCTCAAAACTGAAATTTCGCCCTTCTATGTAATGCTAAGGAGGGGTGTGGAGAGTTAATGTTTGCCCTAATTAACCCTGTCTGTACTGCGCTGGCAGATCTTATTATCAATTATAAACTAGATTTGAACACTGTATGCCCTAACAAAGGGTTAAGTATCTCAAGGCTTGTGTTCTGCATTGTATGTTAATGAAAGGAAACTGAGTCTGTCACCACTGTGTCCCTCCACTCACAATTGTTCAGAGTAGGTTGCATTCTGCTCCAAAGGGACATCTAGAAAGGTAAGAAATATTTGTTTTCAATTATGCTGTATGAATAGGAACACATAACAAATATATAGGGGGGGAAATCAGCTCGTACGTTTACAGGTGGCATTGCAGAACATGGCCTTGGGGTGGCAGGGAGAGTAAATCCGGCCCTGGGGGGGGTCTCACATTTGACTGCAGAAGTGGAAATACACTTTAAAGAAGCACTCTGCTCAACTCTACCTGCATCTGAACTGGCCACATACAAACCCAGGGGATCTTATGAATGGTCTACATCAATTTGCTGTTTGTCTCATGGTAAACACCAATTCTGGCAGTTTTGCCCAATTTTGAAGCTGGTAAATAGAGGCCCCTTTTGCAGCACTTACTGCAATTACTTTTACACGATATTCTAATTATTCGAGTTTCACCTGTATATATATTAGAGTTAAAAGTATATGCTCTTTAAATGTATTGAATGTTGGAATGTAGGGATGTCAAAATGTTGCCCCTGACCATTAGAGAGGGGGAAATCTATACAATGTGGTTTTTCATAGCCTTTTCATTTGTCATTTCTGCAATGAATATGTCCCCACTTGCTTGAATATCGCAGGGGTCTTCTTGCAGCATTTTGTGTACTTTTAAACTTGTTTTGGCTGTGCATGGCTCCACCCATACAGCCACATCATCCATTCACAGGATGGAAAGACCACCGTGGCAGAAAGACTTACAGGGTTATTCACAAAAGGGTGAAGAGTCTGGAGAAGTCAGGAGAAGTGAACAATTTAGGACAACATAGCTGATCTGGAAAGTGAGCTGAATTGGAGAATTTTTCCAAATTGTTGGCCTTGATTGTTCACTTCTCCTGCCTTCTCCAAACTCTTCACCCTTTTGTGAATAACCCTGTTAGAGATCTCAATTGTGTACAAGTGCAGTGACGTCACCTCATTGATACTGTACGTCCTCCAGCACCATAGCTGAAGGTCTGTACATCAATACAGTCCTAGGGGACGAGTCTGCCGGAGCCTGTGCATTGCACCTATGACCCACTGACTGTGGTTGCTATGCTTTACAGGCTCCTTTGCAAAAAAATTAATACATGCACATTTTTTCTTTAGTCAGCGTGTGTGCATTTATAATTTTTGTTATTCAAAAAGTGGAATGTGCCCTTAACATGCCTTTTGCGGCATTGAAAATCCCACAAATAAATATAGCAAACCATGCACTAAAAGCAATAAAACGCAGCAAAAGTGGTAAAACACTTGAATACCCAAACAGTGGCTGCTTCCGAGTGGCTATAAGCACGATTCGGCTGACCAATTTTCCACCTGGTTCCTTCAATTTCGAAAAACGTTCACACTTTGGACAAATAAAAAGGGCTGGTGTATGAGCAAACCAAGTCTCTTCCATTGTCATTGAAGCTGGGTATTTAGTCCTAAATTATTGTGGAATTCACTTTGCTTATGATTCTTTTTGATTTTAGTTGATGACACTCTGGGTTTTCTACCCACCTTTGGACCCTGCTACATCAACCTGTATGGCAGCCCAAGAGAGTTTACTGGCTTCCCCGATCCCTATGTTGACCTCAATATGGGCAAGGTAAGGATTTCACAGTATGTTTTTTTAGCAAACATGTGGGAATGCATCCTCCATGCAGATATTATCCTAGTGGAAATCAAACATCAAATATGATGCATTTGCTGTGCTAGGGGGGATGGAGGAAGGGGGGATTGCCCCCCAAACGCCTCAGCTATTTTGCCTTGGATGTCCTTGGCTTGATTTTTACACTGCATGACCACATCTTGTGTATGCGCTGTCTCCTTTGTTCCTGCAACATATCCTGCTAGGCGGCAGGGGAGGACAGACTAGCAGGCTAATTACAAGTGATCTCGGCATCACTTGTAATTAGCCTGCTAAAAAAAATACTAGCCTGATGCCTTGAACTGACCCAGGCATGTCCCAGGCATCGGGCTATAGGATAGGAATTCCACACCCCTGCCACACCTCTACTCTCTGCGGCCCCAAGGCCGGGCCTCGGTGGCCTTGTGGCACATCCGGCCCTGCCTATACATTATTTTGCAAATATTTGTCCACTTAGCACGTTTTTGTCCGCATCAACAATAACTTGATATTGGCAAAATAAATCCCCTCCTTGTGCTGAGTATAAGGTGGTCTGATGGTAGGCATTACATAGGCCCTGTCACTTTGGCTTGATTATCCAATGTGACTGGGGCTCTTTAAACACTAACATTACTATAAGCTTTCCGTTCCTTTATAAAAGTTCTCATTTATAAGAGTAAAGTTGATTTCTTCTGGGAAACATTCCAAAAAGCTCCTCCAGACCAGATGATCTTGGGTTGCATGTTTGGCCTATTCCACATCTAGACATGGGACTGTGGGATGGTGTGCTGGTGACATCCTTTGAAAACCACATCTAGACATGTCTCGTAGTTATCAACCCATTCTTCAGGATGGCTGCCACCACACATCTGCCCGTCTTCTTCTGTTACCTTGCTGGTATTTTCCTTCTGAAATGTCCTCTCTTTGGTTTGGAAGGGAGAAGGTGTAGCATATCGTGGCCGCGTCCTACTGGAACTGGAGAGCAAGCTGGTGGAGCAAACGGAGCAGAAGGTGGAGGACATTCCTTCCGATGATCTTCTACGAGTTGAGGTAACGACAGGCCGACCTGAAGAAGAGCAGAAGATTGGAGACCACCTGTTTTTTTTATTTTTTGTGTGTGTTTCCCCTAGAAACAATTGAGCAGGTTATTTGTCCTTTACCTGGGAATGTTGGCCGGCCTGAAACGCCCTGTAGACAGGAAGACATAAATTACCTGAATTAGGTTACGGGTGGTTTTTTTTTACAAGCTCAGAAATTCCTCATTTGTGTACCTCTTGTTTAAACAAATGTACAGGACAACAGGAATTCATCCTGGACGGATGGTATATTTCCCCGCTATTTAGGATATGGTCCCTTTAAGGGGATGGAAAAAGGAGTCTTGTCAGAGGTTCTCACCAATGCAGGGTGAGGGGTTCTGGGATGATTTTAGAAGGGAAACTACTACGTAGTCTTCCCGGGATTGATAGTCCTGAAGGGGACCCGGAATCCGGAGGCTCAGAGAGATATTGGGTGGGAAAGAGCCTCCAACTCTGATGGCCTAGTAAGGGATAACCCACCTGCTGGGAGTGTTCAAAGTGCACAGGAAGCCAGCCAGCAGTGTCTGTGAGGTGTGTTTGGAGCAGGACATGTCTGAGTATGGAGCTGTGGACTGGCTGCTACTGAGACATTGCTTTGCACCAGTGTCTGTGTTTGACACTTTGAAGAGCAGGCTGGGATGCCAACCATGAGAAGGAACGTATGTATACAGGCGGTGAGCTGAATTCTCCATTATATTGAAGAGATGTTTTGTTCATATATTCTATTTGCTGAAGACAAGCTGTTTCTGTTGGAGCATTGTGAGAAAAAAATAAAGACTTTTACTTTTACCAACACGGCTGGCTATTGATCAGAACTGTTCCTGAATATTACACGAGTCATAAGTACAGGTGAGGGATGATAGACTAGGTCAGCGGTTCTCAACCTGTGGGTCGTGACCCAAAAGTGGGTCACAACTCACTGTTGAGGGGGTCGCAGCATACACTTCTGCTGCGCTAGGTGAGAAGCTCCTCAGCCTCCTTCTAGCACAGCAGTGTCAGTCAGCGGGAGGACAGCAGAGGCTGTGAATATAAAAGTGCCGCTATACACACTCCCTGGCCGCTGCAGCGACATCTAGTGGCCGGGGGAGTGTGTACAGCGGGGCTTTTCTTTTCACAGCCGCTGCTGTCCTCCTGCCTCCCATACAATGTGAGCTCCGCAGGAGGCGGGGGCGTCTAAGCAGTGCTGGGGCTGAGAAGGCTGCATGGAGACAGAGCAGGTAGCAGGGGCTGGTGAGGGCTTGTATTCTTGTGAGTGTGCTTCTATTTTTAGTCCCATGTCCAGCGCATTACGAATTCTGGAGTCCAGCGCTCCGTTGGGGGGTCACCACAACTTGGCAAATGTTACCAAGGGGTCACGGCCCTAGAAAGATTGAGAACCAGTGGACTAGGTGATGGGGTCCTATGGGGGTTCCTTTGCATGGTCTATTAATCTCTGTGGAGAGCCTTTTCAATAGTGTTCATAGATACAATTTTTACAAGGCTCACTATGAAATTCCACACTGGCAGAATGAAATTCTACACAAAGTTATGACACGTATCTTATTGTTATATATTATAAGTGTTATTATTTAGTGGGACTTATATAAAGTAGGGCTCTAGTCGGAAATACAAATCTTTCAGTCCAGTTAATTGTTTATTAAAGCCCAATTAAACTTTCAGATTAAAGCGGCTTAATACGTTCTAGATGCTTCAAACCGAAAGGTGTTCACAGTCTAAGAGTTTGTTTTCTTTAGAAAGTTCACCACAGCCTGAGTAGAAATGCCTTTACCTGCCAGAATTCTGCAGAGAAGGAGCCTTGCTCTCTGTGTGGAAGCAGAGATCTCTCTGCAGAGGTGCCCCTTTTCCAGAGTCAGAACGGGAGCTTTGCAATCAATAGGGAGCATTAGCTTTTCTGATCGCACAGCTATAGATCTGACATGTCAGGGGGCATGCCAGACTTTTGCAGAGAGACCATTAACAGCAAATGTAATGTGGAACAACTTTTAAGGTTTTAGAATCTTTTGTCCTCATTTTGCAGAAGTATCTGCGGAGACGGAAGTACTGCCTCTTTGCCGCTTTCTACTCGGCCACCATGTTGCAGGATGTGGACGATGCCATCCAGTTTGAGGTCAGCATTGGGAACTACGGCAATAAATTTGACACCACCTGCTTGCCTCTGGCCTCCACCACTCAGTATAGCCGAGCTGTCTTTGATGGTAAGAGCCATTGCTGGCCTATGTAAAGCCAATGTCTTGTTTGTAGTGTTTGCCATCATCCCTTCTTTTATACACTTTTCTTAAGTAAATAGTTTTTTGTGAAACTGTTGCAAAGTTTCTTACATAAGATCCTGCCAGTAACCGCACTTCCTGTTAGAGGCCGACAATGGCTCGCAATCAGCAGCACCGTTGTCAGCCTGTGCACCAGTTCATTGGGCTGCTTATCTGATAGACCTGATAGGTAGCAACATCTTTCAAGAGGACAATTTGGGCCACTGGGGGATGACGATTGACACGGTAGAGGGAACATATGGACAGTCATTTGGTACTCCCTTTTTGTCACAGTAGCTCTGTGACGCTGAGGATAGCACCAGGCAGATGCGGAGTGGTAGAAAAATAATATTCTTTATTAAAAGTATTGATTATTAAATTAGCTCAAGATCCTCAAACAAAAAGATGACCAAACCAGGCCATGCAGTACAGGGGAAAACAGTCCAGGTCCCAGGAGAACAATCAAGTTAGGGTACTCATTGCATGGCAGACAGGGTGTTACAGTTCCATATCCAAGAGATAAACAACAAACCATCCAAAGGTTCATCAGGTCTACTATCAGGTTTAACTGTTCAACATTGGGACCCCAGAATGTCTATGTAGGAGAAGATTAAATAATTGAACCAGTAAGTGGGGAATTAGTGAGCAGTTCATTCTGCGGAGTATCCAGTCCATCAGGTCAGTAATCCACAAAGTCCATCAGTAGTACTAGACAGTCCATAGGAAGGGTGATCGCTAGAGTATCACATGAAAAGGCGCCACAGCTTGCCACCTTCCAGAATCTCTTTGTCCAGTTTCAGCTACACACCACCACAACAACCCTCGACCATGTGGGCTTTTAGGCTTTCTCCCTGGAGGTGTGAACAGGGTGAGGGGGCCTGTGAGTGAACAAAGGCTGCCTGCTCTACCTTGTTTCCTATAGGAACACACCACAAAGTTCCAAAACCTTCAACTTGTCCCAAGCCATGCGGATTTTGTCACACCTGGTCTTTATTTCTTTCTGATATCTTTCCCTTCCCGACGCCTTCTCTCCCCGCTTCCTTTTTTTTTTTTCCTCCCCTGCCCCGCAACCATTGGGTAGTTGGGATCTGCAACTTGGCAGGTCATCTTACTTGATTGTTATTGTGTTTATGGATTTGTACTGCCTGACTTTTCAAGTGAAGTATTTTTTTTGATATCTTGTAAAATTGGCGATTCTGTTTTTTTTTTTAATGTAATAAAATTGGTTTGAAAATGAATCTCTTGCTTTATACTTCAGGCTGTCAGTACTATTATCTGCCCTGGGGTAACGTAAAGCCTGTCGTTGTTTTGTCATCGTACTGGGAGGACATCAGTCACCGCACTGACTGCCAGAATATCATCCACCATACCATCGACAACCTGGTGAGCTGTACTAAAGTTAAGAAATGTAAAGAGTACCTGTGTTTAGAATATGGACATTAATGCATTTACGTATTCTTAACAAGCAGTAAAAGAGCTTGAGGATCAGGAGCGTAAGAGATACATCCTAAAATAGTTCAAGAAAGCTTTTAGGATGTACAGTATCTCCTACACCCTGCTCCTCTCCCCCTGCCATTGCTCCCCCCCGCCACTATTACAGCTGGTAAAAGCTTTGTATTGCACAGCAGGAGTGGCTGTGAAAATCCAGCTGCTCTTGTGTAACATGACAATTGCAGATAGTCTGCAAGTGTCATTGTGTAAATACAATGTAACAATTTATTGTGGTATTGTATTTACTATTTTATTCATATGTAGATCAAATGTGTGACTTTTCATCTTTTTATGACAGCACTTCATAAAAACCTGAAAATGTAAATATAAATAATACAAAGTAAAAAACATTTTTTGTAAAGAATTTTCTCCCCATCATTTACTATTTTCTCCCCGTAGCTATTATGTCCTTGTTGATTTTTTTATTTCAATTTTTCAAACCATATTTTTTCATGCATCAAAAGGAAATATGCAAAACTGTTCATTTATTTTGGGTAGATTAGGGGAGGAGTAAATGCCCTGTTAGGGTTTTACTGCTATCTGGGCCTCTGGAGATACACTCCTATTTCCTGTCCTGCTGACAGTATTTAAAACCCATTTGTTTATTTTTTCCTCTTTATCCATTTGGGAAGATTTCCCTTCTGCTCCTGAGGATGCAACAGGAAGTGAGAAGAAAATATCTACAAAGTGACAGTTGTCACCGGTACAGATGCCCCATTTAGTAGATTTTGCCTCACTTCTTGTTCTGTAGACAACTCTAAAATTCTGGATTTCCCCTTCCTTTCTGTCTCAGTGACAGTTGTCGTCAGGATAAATAGAAAGGGATGCATCTACTCAGCGAGGACAAAGACCATCAATAAACGCACCGGCTGTGAAGTTGGTTCCAGAATCCTATGCTGGTTTCTGATATTTAAAGCCAAACTCCAGCCAGTTAGATTTGGATAGAGTGGAGAAGGGTTGGTGAATAATAATGTAAAATAAAAGAGACTCAAAATATATAATGATATTTACTGTGTTTCATTTGATGCTTCTGAATTTCTACTTGAATGTTTTTTTGTATTTAGGAGAGGAATCTGGAACAAGTGAACTTGGCACTGAAGTCGAAGAGTTCCCCGTATGACCTTAATTATTTATTGACTCGTATGATTGATGAAGTCATCAGTGATTGTGGGTACGTTTGGGATATTGACTCTTCTGTGTTACTAGTCAGGACTGCCAGACATTGCAAGGTGGCAGTTTGTCCTGTCTCTCTTGTCTTTGGCCCCTTGGTGACTTACAAAGCTATGAGAAAAAAGGGGGGGGAGGGGGTTCAGTGGTAAAGGATCACTGAGAAAGTAGTTACCAAGTAAGACTACTTTCTCAGTGATCCTTTACCACTGAACCCCCCCTTCTTTCTCATATGCTGTTATGTTACTAGACCGAGTAGACAGACAAAAACAATTTAAATAGGGGTGAATATTTATGGTTTTTTTGGATCTCCGGAATTCATTCACTAATCCTGTCCTGACTTACAAAGCTAGTAGTTGGGTAGTTGTGTCTCAGATATGATGGCTGATGTCAAAATAGGGTTTTTGAGTCTCCAAAATCCATAAACGTTTACTAGAACAACAATTTTTTTTTTGTAAATACAACAGAAAATCAAGAATAAAGGTGCAATCCAATCCATGGTAGAAAGAAAAAAGAAGATAGCAAGACATGTGTAAATACACACCCAATGGACCTGTAGAATAAGACTAAACAAAAACGTAATAGGAAAAGAGGGAAGAAATGTTCAGAGGGGAGAAAGAAGACAAATACAAAAAAAGAAAGAGAAAAGAAGACATGTCAGATTGTCAAAATACATCTTAATAGTAAATACTATTGCTAGATATAGGGGGAGGATACACGTTGCCCCCATTTAAAGGCCAATTCAACCCTTACTACTTATAATGTTAAAGTGACACTAAACTCAGGAGTTAAACATGAGATTGTAGTCCCTCACGGGAGTGAGTTTGGAGCGGTGACTACTTTACAACACACACAGGGACCATTGGGAACACAAGTAGCCACCCTCCAGCAGAAAGGAGAGTGTCGGCACCAATTCAGAGATGATTGGAGGATCTACAGCCGGGTGATACACAAATAAGATACATTTCTGTTAATAGTTAAGGTACTTAAATGCATTATTAAGATTTAACTCCTGAGTTTAAAGTGTACCTGTTGTTTAGCCCTACATGCAAAAAACACAAGTTCACAATAAAGCTAAACTTGAGGCAAACATCTACATACACAGAAGAAATACATATATTGGAGCTGTTTAAACTGCAAAAGGATTTCTATGTCTGTGGATCCATTTCTGCGATTTACACAGCTCTGCACAACAGCACAGCCCTGTCTGGCAGGAGACCTGATTTTTCTATGCTGCAGTTAAGAACACTTACAGGTCTTGTCCCTCCCCCAGCATGTGATTGAACAGTGAAAAAAGAAGCAGCGAACTGATGAGCTCATCTCTGTGTCACTCTACTCTTTCCACCTACCAGCTTGCTCCTTGCACTGATTGTCTCATTGTGCTGTTCCCCCCTTCCCACTCAAGTCTAAATTCTGCTATATAGCTACTGCAAGAGGTTGATACCAGGTCAAATCAAGATGCTTTCATTGAAAAATAAACGCTGGTACCACAAATCTCTTCCTGTTTGTTCACAGTCATCCTCTACCTGATATTCCATCAATGCCGGGAACCACGCACCTGGATCTGTACCTTCACCGATTCCGAAAGACCAATGTGAGCCAGATCATCCAGTCGGCTTTGAAACTGAAACATGAGGAGTGTGAGCTTACAAGCATCTTGGAGCAATCTGAGGATTGGCTGCAGAGACTGAAAGCCATGGCGGAGGAGGTAAAAGGAATACTTTTTTTGGCAGTAGGATGCAGTGATGATAAGGCGGTTGAGGCTTTGCTGTTTATGTAAGTTTATAACCTTCCCAATCAGTCTGTAAGACTTTAGACGAGTAGGTGCAAAAATGTAACGGGCTTTTAAAGTACCAATGAACACAATTGTAGTCCACACCCTACTCTATTAGAATGAAATCATCAAATTTTATTTGATGCAGCTGTCCTGACGCGGCGGGCGATATGTGAATACAGATAGGCTGGAGAGCGGAGGAATGCAGATACTACATTTTGAAATCTATACAAGACCTATACAATATGTATAGGTTAGTTATCCTGTTTGGAACTCCTCTGCCAGATCCCCTAAGGCTAAGTAAGCCAGGGCTTTCACAACTCCTGTGACCCACTGTCTTTCACATTTGGCCCCTAGTCTGTCATTGCCAGGGTTGTTTTGGTGTGGCTCGTGTGCATAGTTCATATGGTCTATTCATACAAAAAACAAGACTACTCCCTACTCTTCCTGAGGAAGCATAATGTGAAATGCGTTGAGGACTGGGCTACCCATATTTGAGGGACGACATGCTTATTAGATGTTGCTGCTCAAAAATTGCGTTTGTGATCAGAATGTGAAAAAAATCTCTCCAGTGACTGTCTGGTTTCCCTTGGGAAGATCTCCTTAGATCCTGCATGGTCTCCAGCACAAGTGAAATCTCCCCAACAAGGACCAGACAGAAAAATAAAACCTAACAGAGGCAAATACTTTTATTTATCGTTCATTGAGGAACACAGGTTCAGTTATGCTTCCACTGATGCGTTATATTGCCGCCTACAGAAGGATTTGGAAATTGACAAACAAAAAAGCTGTTGACCAGCCAGGTATAACTCGCAGGTATAACTCCTCCTACTCCCAGCACGCTTCCGTTTTTTTGCTGTCATAGAAGGATAGTCGTATTTTCTCTACTGAGCAAAGTTTACTTTTTTTGCTATTATTTGCCATTTTATTTTTTGTCAAGATATTTTTTACTACATTCAAGACTTCATCTGCATGCTGCTGAGCTGGGCTCTCTGTGCAGCTATCCGGATCAGAATCTGCTTGATGCCTTGAAAGCTGTATGCATACCGCGCTTGACTGAAGATTGCCTGGATTGTGACCTTTGGGCACTAGTATCTCCCTGTGGCACTATCCTGGACCTTTCTGAGTACCGTGTTAGTTAAATGCAGAGTGCTTTCCTGGTCCAGAGCCATCGACTGTGTGGGCTGGGCATCATGTTGAATGCCACCATTTTGGAGGATCAGGTGGACGGCATAATGGTTATCCTCGTTGCAACCAGCTGGCCCAGACAGATGTGCTACTGTGACCTGGTCAAAGTTCTGGAATACACACAGTGGGCCCTTCCTGATCATTGGGATCATCTCTCCTAAAGTCTGGTATACCACCCTGCTTCACAGTCGCTGGTTTTAAAAGCATGGCAGGTGAAGTCCAGGTCTTCAGAAATTGGGGTCTCTCAGATTTGGTAATCCCTACCCTATTAAAAGCTTGGAAGCTTAGCTCTTACAAGGTCTGTTAAAACACATGGAAGGTTCATTTTGCCTGGTGTGACTAAAGACATTTTCATCCTGATCATTCTGCAATCAGGTGTGGATCAGCAATTGGCCCCGAGTACCATTGACAAACAAATATCAGCCCTTGTGATCAGCAATTGGCCCAGAGTACCATTGAGAAACAAATATCAGCCCTTGTGATCAGCAATTGGCCCAGAGTACCATTGAGAAACAAATATCAGCCCTTGTGATCAGCAATTGGCCCAGAGTACCATTGAGAAACAAATATCAGCCCTTGTGATCGTATTCCAGAGACCACTAGCCTCCTAATCATTGAGTAAAACTTTTCTACAGCCTCTTCTGTGGCTCCTCCTGTACAACCTCCTGTGACTTCATGGGATTTCAATCAGGTTCTATCTGCTCTTCAAAACTATTCCCTCTGCAAAGTGTTTCTTCTCCTGTAAATAACTTTTTTGTTCATACACAAGGATAAGGTAATACTAAGGACTAGAGCCGCCTTCTTTGCTGAAGTGGTTTCAGCCTTTTACCTGAACAAGATCATTTTTCTCCCATCTCTCTTTCCAGCTTCAGTACACCAGAAGGAAATTTATCTTCACTGCCTGGAAATAGTTTGTGCTGTGCAAGTTTCCTTTTTAAGCCACTGCTTCCATCAGAAGATCTTTAGTTCTTTTTGTCATCTCTGGTGGCCCCTGTTAAGGAGAACGAGCTTCTCGAACCACCATTTCTCAGTGGCTCAGACAAATTCGTTTTAAGGTCCAACTTTACTAGGCCAGTGAGTGCTTCTTGGGCTTTTAGGCATCAATCAAAAGTTTTTCCAGATTTGTAACGCTGCCACCTGCTCCTCTGTTCTTACGATATCTAAGTTTTACTTGGTGGAAGTTTCAGGCCTCATCTGATGCTACCTTTGTGCGTAAGGTTCTTCAAACAGCTATTTGAGCTGCACGCTGCCCCCAGTTCTACTGTTTTTTTAAGTTGGCCCATTACTGTTGCTGTTGCCCACCCCTCAGTTGGACTGCTTTTGGACATCCCATCCCTCTCTGAATAACTGAACCTGTTTCACTTATTGAACAATAAAAATCAGATGCACTTGGGTATCCTGTCAGTAACACACTTCCTGCCCTAGGGTGACAATGCTCACTCACCATACAGTATCTTTGGAGGAGTATTGTGGTTGCCCTACAAGAGGAAGTATGTACTGTAGAGCACACATCTGCTCTCATTTCCATAAGACAGTGGGAAGGTATTCTGTAGTTCAGAAGTACTAAACTGAGCAGGGTTGGCAAGACTGAGATAAGATAGGAGCCCACAGGATCAAGAAGTGCATTAATCAGCAAGGTCTTGGCTGAAGGTACTGTGGCCTGGGCACCGCATGTCTTGACATTTCCTAACTTTTCCCTCCTCAGCTAGCACCTTGTAATGTTGCATTTTGCTTTTCTGTGCAGATAATATAGAATGTTAACGATGCCTATCTATCTTGTCGGTTTTACACCACTTTCCAATTTTCATGTGTGTGTTGGATGTATGCACTAATACTTGTTATGAATTCCCATTTCACAGCCGCAGAACAGCCTGCCAGATATCCTGATCTGGATGTTACAAGGAGACAAGCGCGTGGCTTACTACCGAATGCCAGCCCACCAAGTCCTTTACTCCAGGAAGGGTGCCAAGTGCTGCGGCAAGAACTGCGGGAAACTCCAGACCATCTTTCTCAAAGTAAGCTTCTTCCCCTTGAGGAGCGCTGACCTCAGACAGTGTTCGTTTATATTTTTTCTCAGATTTATGTTCATATACAACTGATAGATATTCTGGCTGGGATCAGCACAGCAAAGGAGCCGTAGCCTTCCAGGATACCAGCCAAATGACTATCCTGCTAGGCAAATAGTATATTTAGAGTGAAAAAAGCAATTTTTTATGTTATAAAAAAAAAAAATGAAAGTGTACCTGTACTAATGCTCTAAGTAGAAAACTGATAGCAGGAGTTTGTGGCAGACACATAGTGGAGCTGTGACTATCCACCCATCTTACCTTCTATATCTTCTGTAAGGCTGCCGGTTATAGTAAAGATCCAATATTGGGATCTGGAGGAGGGAAGCTGCTTAGATGCCGGAGGTAGAGGGTTTTTGGGTCGCCTAGGATGCTGTAAATGTAACTAGATATGTGCAGGTACTGTCTATAAAGGAAATAAATAGTCCTTTTATATTTTACTTATATATATATTTGCGGTTGTACACTGCCCATACACTTTGCGATTATCGGCCGAAAACGTGATTGCATACGATTATCGTACGATAATCGTAAGGTGTATGGGCACCTTTAATGGTGATCACATGATTCAGAACCCTGCTAATTGGTTATTGATTGCTGGTTTGAAACATGTGGTTGTCATTGACAGATTTATCTCTGAACTAGCAGGAAAAAGAAGAGGGCAGGAGCGCAACAGTCTGGTGCCAAGTGTGTGGATGGGGAGTGATTAGTAAATGAGGATGTGTATATAATACACAGTCCAATCAGTATAGGAGCAGCACATTGGCCACAATTTGCTACACCACCCTGGGAGTCCGCCAATCAATCAGTCTCATCTGAACTGATCTCTGAACTAACATTGCACACAGGTGGACACTGCTAGTGTAAGGCAGTTCTCTCAGCAATAGGAACTATGCCTGAGAATATTAATCAATTTCAGAGATAGGCAACCTCGGCACTCTAGCTGTGGTAAAACTACAAATTTAATCATTCTTTTGCTATTGGGTCATGTCTGTGTCTGTCAGAGTCTTGCAATGCCTCATGGGACTTGTAGTTCCACAGCAGCTGAAGTCCCGAGGTTTCCTACCCATGATCTACTGTATGTAATTACAATCATTGGGTGGTTAAACATTTTTTTCTTTGTATGATCTTTAATTACACAGGGGCATCCATATTAGCTCATTACATATGCAGATTCTGCTTCCTGCTTACTAGTGATGAACAGTGATTCTGCTTTATTGTTCTTTGCTCTCAATGGATGACTAATTGGAAACAGTACGCTTTCTTTATGGCTAATTGATCCTTTCTCATCAGTCATTAAGGAGTGATGCTGATTGTATGGAGGGAGGAAGGATTAATATTCTAGAGGAAGTTCAAGTATACAGTACATAGAAAATGCAATCATATCATTGAATTATTGTGTACAAATATGAATGCTATGCCAAGAACTGGTTTTAATTAAACAAATAAACATTAGCAGGAGTAGTTTGAAGCAATTAGATGACTTTCTTACTCTTGTGTTTTATTTTTTAGTACCCACAGGAGGGTAATAAAGGGGCCAAGATGCCAGCGCAGGTCCGGGTTCAGCTGTGGTTTGGACTGGCGGTGGATCAGAAGGAATTTAACCAGTACAATCAGGGCAAGCTCTCAGTCTTTGCCGAAACGGTAAGTTTGAGTTGTTCGTATTAGATAGACTAGACTAGACTAGATGTCAGCACCAGCAAGAGAGCTTGCGGAGGTTGCATTGTTGTAGCAGATGTGAGTATAGTTCTGATGTCACACGGTGACACATCACAAGTGGAAGAATAACACGGGAGAGCCTTTCAATTACCTCTGTGGAATCGCTCCCCGGTGGCTCCAAATGCTTCTGAATGTCGCTGACTAACGACGGGCCATTGAGGGAGCAATTGTATAAAGACCGGCACTGGCAATTTTTCACCAAGATTGGCCATTAGCCACACAATTTAGCAAAGAAAAATGAGAAGTCTTCATGGAAAGTTTTCCTTTACGAATTTAGGATTTCAATTAATTCAGGTGTATGGGGTCAGTTATGGACAAATTAAGACATTGACAAATGAATGTAGAATTCAGAAGCCAGTTTGTCCAGACTCAAGCCAGAGGGAAATTTTAATTCACTAGAGATAGTACACTAATTGGTTGTAATAAAAAGGGTCCAACAAAGATTAGACTTTGGCTACATTTGTTTATACATTGCCTGCCTGGCTCTTGGGGTTTGGCTAGCCCTCTCTAGTAATGTCAGATGGAGCAGACTCCATAGGCCAAAGCTGAACAAAATTGGCTACAGATAACAATAATTGACATGTCCCTCTTTTCTAGCTCTTTGTATATTTCCTATAGGTCATATAGGTCCTATTCATCCCCACACAGCTACCTCCTCATGTGCCCCTCCCTTTTAAATTGTAAGCCCTCAGGGGCAGGGCCCTCCTTACCATCTTGTCTTGAATTGTATTGTGATTGTAATGTTTTCCTTACATTGTAAAGCGCTGCGCAAATTGTTGGCGCTATATACTGTAAATCATATATAATAATAATAATATAGGTGCCTTTATATAACAGCACCTTTATAACAGTAGGATAGCTTTGGGGCCAGAGTTGGATCCACAAGACAACCAAGGCAGCGGCCTAGGGTCCGTTGGATGTTCAGGGGGCCCAGCTGCCTTCATGCTTTTGCAGTAAATGAAGCGGACTGCATAGTAAGTGAAGTTTATGCACCTTCCTGTCTCATCACAAGAGAGGATGCACTGGAAAAAAGTTGGTGTCTGATGGGCCTATGTCAGTGCAGACAATATAAAGGAGGCTCCTCAGTGACTTTTTCAGTCTGTATCAATATGCATTGGCGGGATGGGGTGCCAAAGCTGCTACCTTTTTATAGGGTCCCATTTTACCTTAAGATGTCTCTTTTGTTACAAAGCATTGAAATGTGGAATTTTCTATTGGTGCTTATCGAGCAGCTTGTGTACACTTGTGTCTTTTTGTCTATCGTAGTACGAAAACCAGAACAAACTGGCATTGGTGGGCAACTGGGGGACCACAACCCTTACCTGCCCCAAGTTCACTGACGTGACTGGGAAGATAAAACTACCAAAGGATAGCTTCAAGGCCTCAAGCGGCTGGAACTGGGCCGGCGATTGGTTCATCAGCCCGGAAAAAACGTGAGTTTACCAGAGGGAAACCATCATGTGCTTTATGTTTTCCTGCTCATTTGAGCTTTTCCTGGGTGCCCACTAGCATTTTAAATCCTCGATAACAAACCCAGTAAGCATGTTATGGAAGGACGTGGTGGGCCATTGCACATCATTCATCGTCTCAGCTGTGTACTCCCAGGAAAAGTTACAGAACTGATATTTCTTATGACATAATCCCCATCCCTGTCTTCCAACTGCAATCAGCTGATGAATTTCTTTTTTCTGTCATATATCATTGGTGATATTTATTTCATGTAGCTTACTGCTTAAGACTTTTTGTCCACCTTGACCTCAAGAAATCCTGTTTTCTTTTGTTCTGAAGAATCAGAGATATCATAACCACAGTGATGTAACTTGTACACGTTTGATATACATTCTTTTGGGTGCCAGGATTTATTGTTGTTTTAGCTACTAGTTTTATAGATACGAGTGCAAATTGCACCTAAATCTCCTAAACCTAACCTTGTAGGGTTGTCATAGGAATAGGGGAGGGGCTTAATGGGAGAGAAATAAAGAGCAAAGTACAGAAAGCAGGATTTAGCATGTTTTTAATCACTTACACTGTTGCCTTCCTAACAAAAAAAGCCATTTGGGGAAATTTATGAAAACTGGAGCAGACAAAATGTGGAGCAGCTGTACGTGGCAACCAATCAGCTTCTCTCTTCAGTTTGTTCCGTTAAGATTTGAAAATGAAAGAAGCAGATTGGTTGCCATGCACAGCTGCTCCACATTTTGTCTGCTCCAGTTTTGATAAATTCCCTTCCTTGTGTTCTCAGGTTCCAGCGCCAACTTTCTCCAACCCCACTGCAGCCTCACCCCCAGCTGGTGAACTGTTTTGTCACTGACGATACCGTATTTATTTTATGTAGCTTACTGCATGGAATTTTCTCTGACCACTTTGGCCTTAATACATTTTGTTTTCTTTTGAACAAGGAAAACAGATTTTTAAACTACAGCAATGAAACATCTACATGTTTGATTTATCTGTTTTAGTGTGCCAGTATTCTACCTTTGGCTACTTCATGTACTAGTTTCAGAGACTGAGAGCATGCGTATTGATGCTCCTTCAGTAGGGAAGAACATCAGTCCATATCACACCTAATGCGACTACAATTAACCTCCTAGAGCTATCATAGGAATATAGGAGGAGGCTAAAGTCCATTTTCACCTTTGCAGTGTAATGTAGAGGTGAAGTGATGATGTATATGTGTGCACATTTCCATGACCCACATAGCAGGCTTTCTTCATTTGCTCCACAGGAAACTCAGTCTGACACTGGGGTTGGATTGTAAAGCAGAATGTAAACAGCTGCCCCCTCCCTGTAATTCTGTGTAATATGATCAGCAAACACCAGCTCTGCCTTTGTACAAAATACACTGTCTGGGGAAGGGGGTTTGCCACTATGAATGTGTGGGGTTGGGGAGCTTAGTTGTAATATACACAGTTTTCTTGCAAAACTCAGAGGCAGCCATTTCCATGAAGAGATGAAGAGGAAAGCTAACAAAAACGTAAGGTTTTTGTTAGCTTTCCTGCATATGCCTGCTTCATATACTTTGCTGGCATATGTTTTTTCCCCCACAAAGGTGGAAATGGGCTTTAATGCTGCAGAGAGAGAGAGCACAAAGTACTGGAAGTGGGGCTTAACATCCCTTTTCTTTCATATTAATGATATTATGAAATGATTATGAAATTAAGAGAAATAAAACGGTACATGGAAAACTTTGTACAAAGTAAAAGAATGAATGCACATTAAAAAAACACCGTAGAATTATACTTGCTCAGGAAGTTCTAGTGAGTGGTCCGAACATATCAAAACCACAGGAGACATATGTATATAACAAGACTAGGACCTTAGGTGTCGTGGACTGCCTGAGTTATATGCTCAATAGGTCCCTATAGTCATTACATCATAGATAAGCTTGAGGAAAAAAAGAAAAAGGAGGTAAAACTAAGAAAGGCTTTGAAGAATAGAAGAGGGTAGGTGAGAGATGATTAAAGTAGAAAAGAGTTGCGGGGGGTAGGCCAGAATAAATGTAATTAAATTGTCAGCGCAATATAATCAACTTAGGATGAAGACGTCATCAGCACACCAGCACGACAGAAACTCATGTCAGTGCAAATCCATTTATTGATAGATGTCACTCAGAATATCAAGCGCTTTCGGGGCCGCACAGGGTCCCCTTCATCAGGCTCAATGTCTAATCAGAGCCTAAGAACAGAGGCAAAATTTACACTGGATCACTGCACAGTAAACAAGTAAACAAAGCTCACCAAGATTCGAGTATCAAGTATTCAGGACTAGACATGGCTCTTGTATTTAGACAATATTTGCTTATCCCAGAGTTCAGCTTAAGTGGTTAAAATTAAAATTGTTAACATATTCCTAATTTTTTTCCTATGCTCCTCAACTCCATCTAGTGGCCATATCGCAGTATTTCCCAAATGTAACATTCGGCCTGAAAAGAAAATATACTAAACACATTCGGTGTTGCTTCTATTTGCACAGAACGAACATTCACGGCGATTCTCGGGGTGAACGGCTCTGCGAATTGTATAAAAAACAGATTCCTATTTCTGCTCTTGGGTCTTCTGTCATGATGAGCCTTGACAACACACCCACATTTTTCTTTTTGATCCTTGCTCATGCATACATTGCATGTGTCTTGCACAATCATTGGCTCCCAGATGGTGACATCTTTGCTCTTTCCATAGGTTGTTGTATGACATAGACGCTGGTCACATAAGCTTTGTGGAGGAGGTGTTTGAGAATCAGGCCCGGCTGCCCGGAGGACAGTGGATGCAGATGACCGAGGCCTACTCCGATGTGGTATAGCACAACTTCTTACTGTGTGAATGAGTGAGAATTAATGGTTACACCACTCAATGACAACTGGCAGAATGGGGTGGAAGCAGGGAACTTTAAAGTCTCACAAGTGGCTGGTGGGGAATTAACTAAAATTAATTCAAAAATTAAATAAAATTATGATTTAAAATTAAAGTAAACTAAAACAACATTTTAAATAATTAAAAAATGAATTAATTAAAATCAGTTTTGAGTGAACTATTATAATTTACATCATGACTTGGCTCCTGTTATCTAAAGCCAAAACTTATTTGACTAAACTCATCGGAAACCATGTAATGCTTTGCGATCGCTGAATTCAAACCTGTACGTCCAGCAGCAGTGGCGTAACAACCGGGAGGGCAGCAGGGGCGCGGGCGAAAAGTGAAGGGGGGGGGCGCCGGCCGAAAATGGCACTTTCGGCTAAATGCCGAAAGTGACATTTTCCTGCCGTTTTGAAGCGTGGGTATGACCAGCTTTACATTTTACAGCGTAACTCTCAATACGAGCCATTCCAGACAGGGCATAATGGGGGCATGTAAATGGGACTGCTAACACAGTGTCCCACTGTTCCCCATACAGAGACAAAAGCATGCAATCTGACCACCTTATCACAGGTCTGTAGCCATGACTAGCATGGTCAGGATGACACAGAAAGAAGGGCAATGTGGAAGACACTGGCAGGATCAACAGCTATTTAGTCTTAGAATTTTGCAAACAATAAAAATGTTTAGAGGGACTGAGGAAGGGATTTGAATAGATTTATATTTTAGGTTTCCATAAAGTTTACCTTCACTTCCTGTCCCTGACAAAAAAGGAAGTGAGAGAACATCTCTCCAAAGTGATGTCACCTGTGACAATTGTCTAAACATTGACAATTGTCTAAGACTAATAATAATAATAATTGAAGAAGAAGAATTGAATAATAATAATATTAGAATAATAACAACTGACATAGACAACTATCTCTCCAAAGTGAGGGAAATCCCTTCTTACACCATTGACAATTGTCTAAGACTAATAATAATAATAACTGAAATAGACAGGTGTCTCCATTGGATGATTTGCCCTTATTTTTTCTTCTAGTAACAAAATGTTGGATTTCCCTTTTTAGTTCCAGTAACAGTGGTCATCAGGTCAAAAAATAAGAGTGAATATCCCCATCAAAGACACAGCAATAAAAACCTGTAATGGAATCTAACCCCTTACTACGTCATCCAAAATAGGAGAAAGTCTTGGCTTTTAGAAAACCATAACTGGTTAAAGATTGAACTGGAATGTGACCTTAATTATTACATTACAGTGTTCCTTTGGACCAATTATAATTGTTATATTATTTTTTTTTATAAAAGTGAGCAACATATGGAAATGAACAGTAGATCAAAGTACAAGCAGTAGAAATGTTATGCAAATCTTGACTTTTTCTATAGTTTGGCCCCACCTCCTGAGGTTCCCTTTTGGTCCCTTAGGCCTTGAGATGGGAGGCCTTGCTGAGAGACTCAGGAAGTGGGTAGAGGTGGAGACAAGCATGACTTTAATAGGTGCGGTCAGATGTGCCCTTGTAGGGCTCGAGTCACATTAATGGTGTTCCCACCAGCAGGTATATTCACCTTTCCTTCACTTGATGCTTCAATTAGCCAACGGAAGCCAAAAGTATTCCCTTGCTACCACCTGACGCTGCTGCTGCTTGCTGATTGGCTGCTCAGACAACCATCACTGTCACATGGGGGCAAAGTGAGCAAGATCTCAACTCTGTGTAAGTCGTAGCTGCCATTGCTGAGGTCCACTGGAATGTGCTAATCACCTTGCTGTCACAGACCTAGAACAGGCATGGAGATCAGAAACCTCAGTCATACAATTGACTTTTCACTATTATTACTCTCATGTGTCTTTCAGAATGGGGAAAAAGTTCTCCCGAAAGATGAGATTGAATGCCCTCCAGGGTGGAACTGGGAGGATGACGAATGGTCTACAGATATTAATCGGGCTGTGGATGAACAAGGTAAGGATGCAGGTTTAGGTTTTGTATTAGTCCTAGCCAGGTAGATATCAGTCATATAACGCAGCCCAATGCTGTGCCTGACCACTCAGCAGATTTTATAGACGTTTGTGAAGCATTAGATCCAATGTAGAAGTGGACTTGTACTATAAAGGAAGCTGTGTATGGAGTACAAACAGACAGAAATACCTTTCCATGCATTTTCTTGCCGCTGGATCATGAGATCAAACGCCGATTCCCTAGTCACATGGCCTGAGTTGAATGGGTATGGGGTAGGGATCAGTTTCTGACATATCTGTTGGCGATTCTATTGGTGTTCCTAGGTCTGCATACCTACTGTGCCCATTGTCAGGGGCTCCCACCACCCCTGCTGAGTTTTGAGTATTTTATATTATGGTGTATCTAACAGGAGGAGCCGGAAGACACAAACATGGGTGGGACTACCCAAAGCTCCCATGAAACAGACTGGGGACATCAGGCTCCCCTATACATAAAATATCACAGTTTGGTAGACTGGCCCTAAAAGCCATTTATTAACACATTTATGAACACAACTCCATCCAACAGATTATGATGGCTCTCTGGGGCAGCCTTTCTCAACCAGGGTGCCGTGCCACCCTGGGGTACCTTATGGCTATCTCAGGGGTGCCTTGAAAAGAAGAGGTCTGATGTGAAGGGGAGACTCACACTTCTTTTTGTGTTTTTGTGTGGAGTTCCCCTTAAAATCCATTACATTTTAGACTGGGTTGTCTCGAGAAATGCTGCTCTAGGGTAATGCTTGCTGGACTCATGTAAAAGAAATGATGTATTACTCTCCCTCTTCCAATTGCAGGCTGGGAATACGGCATAGGTATACCACCAGGCAGCAAACCTAAATCCTGGGTGCCCACCGAGAAGATGTATAACACGAACCGCAGGAGGCGCTGGGTCAGACTACGCAGGAGAGATCCTAAGCAGATCGAGATCCTAAAGAAGGTGAATGGGCCATCTCTTGTCAAAGATGAACAGCATGACAAGATTAAAAACAACCTTCTAGCCTGTCATGAATGTGTGAGAAAATCATTAACATTTCTATAAAGCCAAAACATTTTTTCTTTATTGGTGGTTAGGGGACACAGGATTGGCTGGACTCAACTTTTATTAGAACAACCTGCCAAGATTAATATTTCAGTACTTGATGGACTCTGTTGGACGGAGTCATCTGTTGGCTTCATACATGTCTTGGGGTCTCCAGCGGTGACCTCTCCCCACCACGGTCCCTGACTCTGTCAGGGGCAGGTCAAAGGTCCACACACCTTTAAAGTCTCACTCCTACAGCTACAAGTGGTTGCAAGGTTTTTTCACACTTCCATTGGCAATCTCTATAATACAAAATAGATAACTCAACAGGGAGATTTAATCATGTGTGAAGATCCTTAACCAGTTGACATCCGCGGTGTCAAACCCCCTTGCCATCCAGGCCATTTTTCAGTATTCAGCGCTGCGGTACTTTGACTGACATTTATTCCGTCATGCAACGCTGTACTGAAATGAATTTTATACAATTTTTTGGGGACAGATAGAGCTTTCTTTTGGTGGTATTTAATCACCACTGGGGTTTTTATTTTTTCTATATTAAGGAAAAATTACCGAAATAAAAAAAAAACCTATTTCCCCTATATTAAATGATAAAACATTTATCATTACCCAATTTTTTGTTAAAATATAAAAGACGGGGTTACGTCGGGTAAAAAGACACCAAACATGTCAAGCCTTAAAATTGCGTGCGCGCGCGAAACCTCAAAAAACGATAATACCCAAAATTGGCCATAGGCGACGCTTTAAAAGCTTTTACCGCTCATCGGTTTAGTGTTATCAGTGATTGATGGCCCTAGAATGATTGCTCTCACATCGACGTTCGCGGCGATATGTAAACCCCCTATATAATAGCAAAGGCACACTGACAGGTCCTCTTTATGGAGACATTAGGGGTCTCTAGGACCCCTAATGTCACCTGTGGACCCCAAAATAAGCTGATGAAGCACAGATCTGCTTCATCCGCTTCTTTTCTCTGGCTATAGCAGCCAGATGACTGACAGGTGAATGCGGAAGTGATGTATTACACATCACTTCTGCATTCACAGCCCGGAGGGAGGTCAGCAAGGAGCTGATCTCCCTTCCTCTTCCTCCTGACGCCCTCCCGACCCGATCCCGGGCCGCAGAGGGGGCAGCGGATCCCGGGATTGAAGGTGAGGGGTCAGGAGGGGGGGCAAAAAACGAGCACATATAGACGATCGGCAGGCTATAGAGCTGCTGATCGCCTATATGTGAAACACCCGGTAACGGGTGTTTGCATTGGTCGGGTCTTTTCTGCCCGTGTGCGCCCGTTAGGGGGCGCACGCAAGCAGAAAAAAAATGCCGTCTGGAGACGGCAACCCGCCAATGCTGCAGTGCTGTCCGTCCGTTTTTTTACAACAGGCGGATGACAACTAGTTAAAGTTGTATTAAACACTGAAACTTTTTTCAATAATAAATCCAGATCAAACACATTGCCCTGAAAAGTATTTCTTATTTTTGCCCAAACACTTATGGTCATCAGGTTTTCAAACAGCTCCAACTCTCTCTGCTTGGCGTCCTAAACTTCCTGTTCAGCACAGTGTCCTGTAGCTCTCCATTTCCACCAGCCTGGAGAAGGGAGGAGTGGGGAGCAGGGGAGCAGAGTAGCTAGCCTTGGTGTGCCTGTGTGTTTGTGCACACACAAGGGTGGCTCCATAGGACCCTGCAAGGGAAAGAAGCCACCTTAAACAAGATATTAGGGCCAGTGCTCATGGAACCAGCTGATTCTGCAGGAAACTGAAACTTTTGTATATCAAGGGGTAGCATCCGTTGTGCTATACGTATGTTTAAAAGTAAATCTCAGCAATGGCAGGTTATGAATTTTCTCAGTACACAGCAGGGACGTGCGGTCGGGGGAGGCAGGCGAGGCAGAGCCTCACCTAGTATTATGCAGGAAAAAGCTGTCAGCTTCAAGTCTGAAGCTGACAGCTTTTTCTCCATTCAGGTCGGCTTGTAACAGGTTACACAGCAGGGAAAGCATCCCCGCTGTGTAACCTGTCATGGACGGAGCGCTGCCTGTTAATTTGACAGGTAGTTAGGTTACACAGCAGCAGGCTTCCCCACTGCTTGTGTAACCTAACTTGGTGAGGCAAGAGCTGTCACAGCCTCTAATCTGTGTTAGAGGTGTGAGCTCTGTGGATGGCTTGGGCCAAGGGTAAAGCATCATTGGTCCAAGCTGTCCAATCAAAAAAAGAAAAAAACCCACTGAGGGCATCGATCTCGATGCCTCAGCAGTGACGAGCAAGTGAGGGACAGGGAGCCTCCTCCCTTTCTCCTCCCCACATAGCTTAGTTACCGAGCTGGGGCGGAGCTTCGGTTGGACGGGCGGGGCTTCGGCAGGACGGGGGTGGAGCTTTGGCAGGCTGGGGGATGCCTCACCCAGCCCAGAAGGCACGGAACGTCACTCGTACACAGTTAACCCTTGGTGCCTGCAAAATGTAGATAAACGTTTCCTTGCACAATACCCAGTGAGGAGGGAATGGTAGTCTAGGTTCGATTCTGCTGTGCCCACACTGTCACTGACAGCTGCCTGGGCAGATTAGTGACTGGGAACCAATCAACGGGGTACTCGATCATGTCACTAGTGTGTTGAATGCTTGAATGTTCTCCCTGTGCTTGCGTGGGTTTCCTACCACACAAAGACATGTTTGAGGGTTAATTGGCTCCTGTCTGAGATAGGGACCTTAGATTGTAAGCTCCTTGAGAGCAGGGACTGATGTGAATGTGCACTATGTAAGGGTGCCCACACACCTTACGATAATCGTATGATAATCGCGGGAAATCCGCGATCGTACGATTATCGTAAGGTGTGTGGAAGGCGTGCGATCTCTACTACTGTAAGGTCGCATGACTTTTAACTTACGAACATGTTTCAAAACCCGCCGCGCATCGTATGATGTTCGGAGGGTCTGTAGCATGTTCGTAAGATAAAAGCCGGACGGGCTGGTGTGCGCAAGCGCACACTGCCCGTTCGGCATTGCGGTCATCGGAAGCACGCCCCTCAGGGGGCGCGGCTTGCGATCATCGCAAGTACGATCTGCCTGTCCAAGATAGGCAGATCGTACGTTTTTTAAATTACCTTACAACCATGGCAAGACAAAAGTCTTGGCAAGACAAAAGTCTTGCCATGGTTGTAAGGTGTGTGCCCAGCATTAAGCCCTGTGTAAACTGTCAGCGTTATATAAATACCAGTAATAAATAAATGTGATCACCGTGTCAGCTATGATGTGACGATCACAGGGCTTTGTATGTAAACTCATAACAGCTGACGGAGTATCTCCTTTTGCGTGCATTCACTGAACAAATAGAAAGAAGTGTTATTTACTTTTTTCAGTCCAGTCTACAACAAACACCTGAGGAGGGTATTTATGGATTCTTTCGCTGCTGCTGCCGGTCACATTTTAGGTCTGAAGATTACTGCATCTGAAAGCAGATACCCTGGAGAATAAAAGGGTGGCAGTTGCAATTTTTTGTGTTGCATGATATAAGCGCAACTGTTTATCAAACCGAAAATGCACTTCTGTAAATTTTAGAGCACATCAACAAAATAAATTGCCCATTTTTTTGCTGAAATATAAAAGATGAGCTTGTGTCGAGTAAGATAGGGGGACGTGGTTCCTTTTTGATTGGTTGATTGGCTGCCAGAGTTATGTATTTATATCTGCACTTAAATTGTTCATTTTCTGTTTGCTTGAAGAAGGGACCACTGGGTTGCGAAACGTCGCTTTGAAATGTGACACTACTACAGTCAGTAAAGAGATTGACTTGATATTTATCTGGAGCGTGATTGACTTTCCAAACTATTTATTTATTTATTTATTTTAAATCAGATTTTTTTTATTATGAAATATTTTCCATTATTAAACATATCACGAGAAAAAAAAACATACATAACTTTTCAAACTCCAAATAAAATACAAAACAACCCAAATAAACGCAAAAACAAAAAATACCATCCACCTTATATTTATTCCATACAACAATCTATCTATCTATCTATCTATCTATCTATCTATCTATCTATCTATCTATCTATCTATCTATCTATCTATCTATCTATCCTTCATATATATATACAT